TTCGACCGCCGCGACGGCGGCCGGGCTCGCGGAGGCGACCGCCCGCGCTACGGCGCGCGCGAGCGCGGCGTCGTGCGACGCGCCGAAGTCGAACAGGCGACCGTTTTCGCGCGCGCCCGCGGCGGGTTTGGCGGGAGAGGATGGCTGCAGCAGCCAAGGCAGGGCGGGCGGCTGCTGCTTCTGCTGCTGGGGCTGCTGCTGAGGCTGCTGCTGCTGCTGCTGCTGCTGCTGCTTGGGTTCAGCGGCAGTCGCGGCGCGGCCATTGCTGTCGTGCCCGCCGTCTAGCTGCCGCTGATCTGGCTGCTGCCATTGGAACTGCACCCGCCTTTCCTTCTCAAGCTGCTGCTGCTGCTGCTGCTGCTGCTGCTCCTCCTCGCGCCGCGGCGCTGCAGCCGGCGCCGCCGGCGTACGCACCGGCGTCTCGCCACCAAACAGCGTCCGCGGCTCCGCCCCAAATCCACCCCACGGCAGCGCGCCCCCGCCCGCCGCCACGCCCGCGCCCACTGCTGCCGGCGTGCGCTCGTCGGCCGTCGCGGCGCCCGCCGCCTGCCGCCGCCGCGCGGCCGAGTCGGCGAAGATGCTCTGCGGCGGCGTCGCGTCCAGCGGGACCGGCGTGAGGGCCAGGCCGCCGGGCGCGCCGCCGCCAAACCTAGGGAAGGGCGTGTGCCCCGGCGCGCCCGCGCCCGCGCCCGCGCCGGCGCCCGCCGGCGTCGGAAGCGGCGACGAGAACCCGCCGGCGGACGCTTTCGTGGGTGGGGTGCCGAACAGGTCGAAGCGGGGCGCGGCAACCGCGCCCGTCTCAAGTCGGTCCAATGGGGGCGGCGGCGTGGGCGCGCGGCCGGCGTCCCGCTCGGCGCTGCCGGCCTGCGGATGGGTGGCGTAGCGGCCGCAGGTTTGGGGTGGCGTCGGTCAGGCGGCCGTGTTGCGGCGGTGGGGGCGTGCATGGGGTTATGTCACAGGCCTCAGCTTTTGGTTGTCATCAACTGTCAGGAGTTATAGTTTATGTAAAGACATCAGCGGCCGCTCGAAATGGGCGAATGCGCCAACACAACCCAGAAGGCAACGCAATGTGCAGGGCGGTTAGCCCAACCACTCGGGCTCACTCGCAGGCATGCACGCATGTGATAGCCTCAGCTTGCAATGTGGCATCAATAGATCAGAAATTATTAGTCTTAAGAAATGCCATCACCGGCTGCACATGCGGGATCATGGATTTGACGCACACGTTCACAATGGCGCACATGCGCACACAGGTTCGCGTCCAGATATACGCGCACGCGTCAAACTCAGAATCCAAAATTGATGCAGAATTTTCGAGACAGAAGCCCTCACGCACCTTTTCCAAGTTTTCCAGCGTGCTGAGGATCGAGGCCGCCGCCGGCGTCAGCGCCTCCGGCCGCGCCTGCCGCGCCGCCGGCCCCGCGCCGCCGCCGCCGTCCGGCGCCGCAGCCAGCGGGCCCGGCGCGGG